AATAATATCAAACCTCCCAACTTTATGTACTGGCAACTAATTGAAAAAAAAATCTCAATCCACTTCAAGTAATTTCAACTTTGGACTTCATTTAGTCCTGGGGCAATGAGTTTAAACCTCTGCTCTAGTGATGTGAGCCAAGAGGTCTCTTTGGAAATGTATTCCTCTCCCACAGGAACGAAAAGACTCCTGCATTTACCAAATGTCGTAACATAATTTGTGTTCAATGGAAGATTGTGAAACAGTGTGGAAAATAATTTTTATTTGTAATGTTCAAAAAAATATGACAAATAGTACATTTTGAAAATAAATTTTAAACAGTATTTAATTAAGAAAAAAATCATTAAATTTGAAACTTAATGGCTGGCCTTACACAGATTTCTGTTTAAGTTCAGTGACCCGCATCTGAATTCTTACCCCACCATTTACCCTACTTGGTAATTAGCCTCTTTCAAAAGTATTTAAAATCCAAATGCTGGTGGTACAGAGTGAGGAAAGAGGAGACAAAGAAGGCTTAGGTAGTGAAATAAATTTGCACCCTGTAAATGTTACCTCAAATAGCTCTTTTGTTTAGTCAGACCTTTTTTGAGTAGGATTTCTGAATATAATTTAATCATGAATTTCTTAAGGTACTGTCTAAAATTAAAATATGGAGTTTAATGTTTCCCAGTGAGTAGTCCTTTTAGTTGAGAGGGTGGAGTCATTTATTCTTGCATAAATGTGATATAAGTCTACTTTTTAGATCATCATTCAAGCCCAAGTATGAACAAGCCTGGCATTGTACTTTTAAAAATTCAATAAATATCTTAGTCAACCCCAGAAAAAATACAGACCTGGGTGAAACACTGGCATTGCACATTGATGAACATGAAGAGGACAATACTCTCAGGCAGAGAGTAGAAAGAGGTAAGTTCTCTCTGATGACCTTCAGTGAATGGAGTGAACACTGAATTCTCAGTGGTGATGAGGTAAGTTGATGTGTATGCCTTCCTGATTTGTTCCAGTATTACAGTACAGGCTTCAGTGTTGAAGGTTGTTGAGGGATCTGAGGCTTCACTATTGAAAGTGGAGAGAAGTAAAAACAGGAGGTGGGGCAGCGGGGTATTGCTTCTTCTATCTCCAACTTTCATTGGCTTTTCACTAATAACTGCTCTGCTTCTGTCTGGTAGCCTCAGATCACATAAAAATCAAGCACATGGGAAGTAAAAATTG